TTGTTAAAAAGAAGAAAAAATCTTCTAAACCAACTTGCAAATGTTTTATTTATGATCAAGAAAGTCATTATGCTGATCATTGCCTTAACAAAGGGAAAAGTGCTAGAAAAATTATTAAAAACTTGAAGAAAACTATCTTTAAATTTTATTTGCCAATGATTTATCAAATAAAGAAATTTATTGTGAAGTTTTTTCAAAAACTGATTATAGTTCTTTTGATGATAAATTTAAATATATTTTTATGATGAATACTGAATCTAATCAAGATACAATTTCAATTACTTCTTCTACAGATACAACAACTACAGCTAAAGAAGGTATGGTTAAACTTAAAAATGTTATAAGAAAAACTCATAATATTTTTGAAGAAAAAATCAAAGAGTTACAACTCATCAAACCTAATGAGGTGTACAAAACTAGTTGGTTTAAAAAATTTCAAACTTGGTTTAAACATCATAATGGTTTTGATGAAATTTTTGGATTTTGGAGTAAAAAAAATAGAATTATTTACATATATGGAAGATTAACACCTAATTAATTTGTTTTTGCATCACCTTCGTTTTCGTATTTACATGCCAAATTGAACTCTAATTAGGAGTAAAACTTAATAGAGTTTAGGAATTTTTGCCATATATATGCAGCAATTAAGTTAATTATATTTTGTTTTCTTAAAATAAATATTTATTCATTTTCATATGCAGTAGGCATTATTTCTCCTACATTTAAGTAATTGTAGTAATTTAATTAATAGAGGAATATTATAATGTAAATGTCCCTGAAAATAAGTAGTATATTAAATATACATTTATATTGCCTATAAATGCAAAGGTTTTAATTTTTTTACTAAGAAAAAAGTTTGAATTGCTAATCTTTAAACAAACAAAGGAATCATCATATACATACATATTTATATTTATATATACATATACATAAGGAACTAAGGTGCTAATTTTAATATAAATGGTTATTTATTAATATATAGAATTCCATACAGTCATTCAATTAAAATTACAATAGAAAAATACAGTAATATATTTAAACTAGTAAAGAAATTAAAAAATTCATAAAATTATTTTAAAAGAAATCATTTTCCATCAATCAATCATCATTACTATTACCTCTTTATAAATCTAATAATAAGAATATTATTGTTTAAAACTTTTAATTACTTTTATTGATTGAATACTGAAATATCTATTTTATTTTAATATGCCAAACATATTTTTATTTGTTTTAAAAAAATTATATTATCATTTACTAGGTAGGCATTAAGTTATAATATCTGTGTATATTGTACACATATATTCATAATTAAACAAATATTCAATTTTATACTCATGTACCGATTTACTATAGAAACATATATTTATTGAATTAAACCAATTCTTCAAGTTAAAGTTCGGAACCACTTAATCTAAAAGTGTATATCAACTTATTGATTATTTAATTACTTTGTGTTGCAGGCTATTTGCCTTATTGGACTAGAATTTGGGCTTAAATGAATAAACGTAAGCTATGTTGGTAGGCTGTATATGTTACAGGCCTGTCTAGCTTTGTTTGTTTCTTTTATTAAAATATGTTTACACCATTATACTGGACAAGGGGATTATTCCTTTATGCTAAAACCATATTTACTAAGTTATTCTTTTATTAAATATACATGTAAAACCACATTTACTAATTTATTAGTGCCATGACCACGTTAGTTTATTAGTCTTCGTGGAAAATTAATTGGAAAGGAGCTGAATAAATACCTGACAATGTAATTAATGAAATATTCTTTTGAACTATCCAAATCATGGCTTCTTTCTTAATATCATTCCAAGTCTTGTTGGTTCTCATGCTTGTGTCGGTTCAGTCATCCTACCTTTATCCAAATGAAATCATAAAATATTATTGTTTAATTAATTAAACCATATTTTACATGAAAATTTAAGGAAATTTCACCATGTTATACGCTCAAACTAAAATTTCAATATTTTAATACAGCAGGTTCATTGTTAGTGTTAATTTACATAATTCCTTTATTTAGGATTATTACACAATTTTAATACATAATTACAAGAAAACAAAACGTTTGAACATGAACATTTAGCTGATAATAAGTGCGTATAAGTTTTTGTCAAAAAGTTACGTTAAAATCACTGACCTCCCTTCAGTTCAAAAAAATAAAATAAAATAAACATAAAATATTTGATATTAATGGAGAAGAAGTTTTTAGCCAAAAGTTTCCAAACCACAATGTTACTATCCAACAACACTGTGAAACTAAAATGTAAAAAAAAAAAAAAAAAAAAAAAAAAACCTAATCTCTCTTTTTTTTTTTAATGTTAATTTCTGATTAAATTCTTCATATACTATATTTAAGTGATTTGCTTTTATTAAATCCATTGACCTTGCATATATAAAAAGTAATTTATTTTTAAGGATTTAACTCATTTTAATTTTATTTATTAATGAAATGTCACTATTAGTAGTGACAGATCTAGGATTTCAAGTTAGAAGTGGCCAACTAAAATAAAAATTTGAAATTTAGTATATAATATATTAGTATTTTATGAAATTATAAAAAAAACATATGTGAAATATTATATTTCATATATGTAGCTATAAACAACAAAGACAAAAAATTCAAATACTGAAATAAAAAAATTACTATCAAAAATGAAGGAAATTCAAATACTTTTTATTTAAAAGAAGTTTTTTTTTATCTAATTAAATCTTTAAAGGATAGTTTTGTTCCAAAAAGCTTTTCTTTTTTTATGAAAATTGCAAAAGAAATATTATTTCTTGCCAAATCAACATATTTGTCTTAGTTACTTCTATGAAGCCAACATCTATATAGCATATATTTGACAATAAAAAGTTCTTTAGAGGCTAATGTGGCCAACTACATTAGCCATTCATTACATATCATGTAAACGATAGTTTAAATTAAATTTTTATAGTTTGCAATCAAACATTGATTTAACAAAAATAATTATTATCGTTGATGTAGTAAAAATAATGAATTTTAGTGATTTTCATGTAAAATAAGATTTAATTAAATAAGAATAATTATGCTTTCAATTGGATAAAAAAAGATAAAAGTTTATTTGAGAAATTTGAGAAAAGGACAACATTTTTTTAGCATTTTATTAAAAAATAGTACAAGTTAAACGCATATAGTTCAAAATCATCACTCAAATCTATTTCAAGTGTACTCAATACAATAACAATTAAATTTTGAATGATTTAAAGGACAAGGAATGAAGAAAGATTAGAAGGATGAAATTGTGAGAAATAATGTGCATGACTGTATATAAGAATAAATGGCTGAGTAAATAGTAAAATCAAAAGGTTATTACCTGAAGTTGTGTTTATTGTAATTTGGTTTACTCACCAATTGTATTCTTTGTTTGTTCAAACAAATAAAAAAGTGATATTAGAATTGCTGTAGCATTCCAAAGTGAAACACTATAGCAAATCGATACCACAGTAGAATATTACAGTCAATTCACCACAAAAGCTTTATTACTAGAGTGTTTTAACATTTTCAATACAAAGAAAAGAAAAAGAAATAGATTGAAAGCAAATACACGTGCTTAAAATTATTATTCAAATTGTTAGCACCTTAATATTAGCCATTGTAGATTTCATGATCCCATAATTATCCGAATTTTATGATTGAGAAAGGATTGGGCAATGGAAGCGATTGACGGGTAAGGGCTTAAGCAACTTGTCGCATGGTTGGCCAAAGTTGGTGATTGCCATTCAAGCATGCAAATGCTAGCTTTGTAGTAGAGGCAACATCCTTTGCAACTCGTCTTATCGATGGTGAAAGATGTTGGTTAATCACATCTTTAAATAAAATATGTTGGTTGTCATTTGGTACCAATGTCGATGTCAATGTTGATGCCATGCCGATGATGGCAAACATGAAATCAAATCACTAGGATGCTTTCCCATAAGCATTTTCACTGTTGGCACCCCAAAATTGTAAACATTACATGTCTCATCTACTTTCATTGTATAAGCCAAATTTGCTCAGAAAAAATATATCAATGTGCTCTATTAAGCAAGAAATATATCTTATCAATACACTATTATATAAGAATATTGAGAAGATTATAAAATAATGTCAAAAAAAAATTGTAAATGTTTAAAATATTACTTGAAAACTGAAATTCGAAGTATCTAACAAAATTTTACATTTAGTTCTTCAGTTTGATATATTGCATATTAAAAATTTAAGTGTTAAACTTCAAAGATTAATTACACATTCGACACTTAAAATATGGTAAAATTCTTAATTTGATACTTAAAATTTGAAAAGTTACAATCATAATACTACTTGAACTTTTTTTAACGCATCAATTTGCACACAAAACAAACACTTGTAATTGAATGTTGACATGTTTAAAGCATCTTAAAAAAAGAAATATCAACAAATACCTGCAGCTATGTACCCGAAAGTGCCAGCAAGTGAGGTCCACTTGGAGAAGTGAGGCTTTAAAAGCTTGGCTGTGCCAAACTATGAGACATGAGCCTCATAGTCCAAATCCAAAAGAACATTATTGCTGGAAATGTCTCTATGAATTATAGGTGGTGAATGGTCATGATGCATATAAGACAAGGCATTGGCCACTTCTTTTACAACATTTAGCCTCTTCTCTCAATCCAACTCCATTGCCTAATCCTTGTTGTTTAACACCATTTTCAAACTTCCCTTTTCTACAAACTCATAAACCAAAAATGAGTTCTTTGGATGTGAACAAAAGCCATACAGCTTCACAATGTTATGATGTCTTATTTCTGATAAAGCATGAATCTCGCTTTCAAAGGCTTTCAAGTTGTTGGAAATCATGCTATCTTCAGATTGGTGAAGTTTCTTCACAGCAACCACCTCACCAATGGGTAGCGCAGCTTTATAAAAAGCTCCCTAGCCTCCTGAACCAATGCAATTGTTGGAGCTGAAATCTTCAGTGGCTTCAATAATGTTCTCTTAGAGTATTCTTCCATTATATCACCACAATGTGAAAAAATCTCCCAGTTGTGCCTAGGCCATTATTTTTTCTTAAGGCATCAAATGAAGCCTCAAGGAATGCCTTAATGTTGGGAATAGGGCCTTCTAATTGATTGTAAGAGCTATTCACAACAGTCAAGCTTTGTAAATCATTGAAAGAAATTAGGATGGAACCATTGAGCATATGGTGAGAAAGATCCAATATTTCCAAGAAATGTAATTCCCCAAGCTGTTGTGGTATCGCTCCAATAATCGAATTATGACTCAAATCTAGGATCTGAAGACCATATATGAAGCTTATTGAAAATGAAATGCTTTCTCCAAGTTTATTTTTGCTCAAATTCAAATTCAATAACTTTGAGCACTTTCCAAGTTTATAAGGAATCGAACCACTTAAATTGTTTGATGCCAAGTTAAGATGTTGTAGATTTGAAAGAACTGCAATCTCTGGTGGAATTTTGCCTGAAAGTTGGTTACCACTTAGCAGAAGACGGAACATCATTGTCAATGCTCCTAATTCCTTGGGAATCTCACCAACAAGATGATTTGAAGAGAGATCGAGTTCCTGTAACTGAGTTGCATGTTGCAACTCTTGTGGGATCTTTCCAGAAATGTTGTTATTGGAGATTTGTAGGCTTGTTAGATTATGACATTGTCCCCATTTAGGAGAAAGTTCACCATAAAATCTGTTGTTGCTTAATGAAATATAATTCAAATTCGGATACACAGCAAAAGTTTCTGATATATTTCCTGTAAAGTTGTTTCCTTCAAGCCTAACTCTGTATAAACTTTTGCAATTTTTCAAAGTTGGTGGGATACGACCCGTCAAATTGTTGTTGATAACTGAAAGATTTGCGACTTGTCCACCCCTGCATAAATTTTTAGATAATGGACCACTGTGATGGTTATCTCCTGATTGTAATGATTGCAAATGAGTAAGATGTAACCTTGCAAGCTTCATTATGTTTCCAATTGAAGCAGAGATTGAACCACAGAACATATTTTGATGAAGGTAGAGAATGGATAAGCTGGTCAAGTTTCCTATGGAAGCAGGGATTGAACCAAAGAAATTATTTTGACTCAACGCAAAGTCAGTGAGAGATCTAAGCATGCCTATCTCTTGAGGTATCGATCCAGAAAACATATTTTGGTAGAGGTAGAGAAGAGATAAGTTGGTCAAGTTTCCTATAAATTATTCTGATTCAACGAAAATTCAGTGAGAGATTTAAGCATTCCAATCTCTTTAGGTATCGATCCACCCAAAAAACATATTTTGATGAAGGTCGAGAATGGATAAGCTGGTCGAGTTTCCGATGGAAGCGGGGATAGAACCACGCAGATAGTTATCAAAGAAATAGATCTCGGAAACTAAACTCAGCCTCCCTATCTCTAATGGAATGGAACCACTGATCTCATTACTTGCTAAGGAAATCAACTCAAGACCTTTCAATAAGCAAATTTCGGATGGAATATTCCTCGAAAAGTTATTGTATGACAAGTCAAGGAGGGTGAGCTTGGAAAGGTTCCCAATGTGTGAGGTAATGGGCCGATACAGTGAGTTGTTACGAAGGTTAAGCCTCATCAGGTTAGGGAAGAAAAGAAAGTTAAAACTATGAAGTGTACCTTTCAACCCATAATCTGGAAGGCTTAGATTAATGATGCTTTTAGCCTTGTCGCAGGTAATTCCAGCCCAACTGCAATGGCTGTCTCCAACCCACAAAGCAGAGAGCAAAGTTTGGGTGTTGTTGTCAAGGCTAGCTTTCCATTTTAGAAGAGCTTCCGCTTCTTTACCTCTTGTAAGTGCAGCAATGGAGGATGAAGAAGCAAAAACAGAGGAAGAGTGAAGCAGGACAAGTATGAGGAAGAACATGACTTTGAATGGTATTAAGAAAGATGACAGGATTTGGACAATTCAAAAAGGATCTTTTGTTAATTTTTCTAAATTACATTGGCTAGCATGGTCAGGTAATTATGCAAAATACAAGAGTATTGTAGTCACTACGAAACATCAACATCAAATGGAAAAATATAACTCCAAGACCGATGGATCTTTTACGTTTAAATTAATTTTGGTAGACGATGATTATCAGTCTTCTAAGTTTAAAGGACAATTTTAGCTTTCGTTTGCACTTATTATTAATGGAATATTAAAAAAAATCATGATAATTTTTTTAATACATCAATCAAAATTTTTAATTCTATAAATGAGTTTATAAGATTACTACAAGCCATACACATCTTTGTCATCATCTCTAAAATTTAATATTTTTTTATTTTTATTCAAATAAAAAATTAATTTTTTATTAAATTTGAATAGGATTGACATCTCTAGCGTAATGGAAATGATTTAGGATTCACTTGAATTGGTGATAAGATTAACTTTGGTGAGATTAAAAACAGTAATTAGATTAGATACTATATCAATGAGATTAAAATCAATTGTCAAGATATGTGTTTCCATAAAAACAAGCAATGGAAGTGATGTAAATTATAATTAGAGGATAAATCACCATTAAATTTGTATGTAATAAAAAATTAAAATTATTTAACATTTATAAAATTAATAAATAATTTAAAAATCAGTAAATTATTTTTATGTAAAATAATAATTTTTAGATAAATAAGTAAAAACTAATAAAAATAATAATATCTCAAATGATATTTTTTTCTTTAATTTTTATTAATAATGTAGTTATCTATTTTTAGTTAAAATAATAATATAATATAATACTAAATTTTATATTTAGTTATTAATTTTTATATAATAATAATTTTTAATTTATAATATAATAATAACTTTATTTATTTATAAGTTTATTATATAATAAAATCTTTCATTATATTAAATTAAAAAATTATTTCATAACTTATTAATAAAAAAAAAGAGAAAAAATATCAAAAGTGTCAAAAGTGTCAAAAGCTCACCACACCCTTTTCCCATCAATGCAGTTTAAGTCTTCCACTGAAGCCACGTAAGCATAATCGGATTGTGCCTTTGTGATCCAAACAGCAAAGCACAGTGCAATTGGATCAATAAGTGCTTAAATGCATTAAATAGTGACACCAATTCATTTTAAATGAGGTTTTAGATGAAAATTTGTAAGCAAAATTTGTGTATTTTTTATTAAAAGTATTAAATAAAAATTAAAATTAATTAATTTAAATTAATAAATTAAAAAATTATGTTACATAAATTAAATTGAACATTTAAAATAAAAGCATACAATAAAAAAAATTTAGAAGGCATCGGATCTAAAAATAATCGACCTTAAATAAAGAGTTTTTTCATAATAAAGTAAATTATTATGTTGTGTGATATCAACAAAAACAACAATTGTAGCTAGATACAAAAATATATATTATAAATTGTATGACTTATAATTTTATAACAATATTGGCTTGAATTTTATAAATTATAACAATAATATGATTTATAATTGATTTTATGACATAAAATTATTATCAATTTCAACAAATGCAGATTTATTGAGTGTCGAGTTACCATAAATAGAAAATTTTGAACATACAAATTGAGTACTTAAATACAGCTGTTCTATATCACATGCTTAAACACATCTGTTTTATATCATAGCCAATTCACTACAAAAGCTTTTTTACTAGAGTGCTTAAACATTTCAATACAAAGAAGAGAAAAAGAAATAGATTGAAAGTAAATACACATGCTTAGAATTATTATTCAAATTATTAGCACCTTAATATTAGCCACTGTAGACTTCAAGATCCCACAATTCTCCCAATTTTATGATTGAAAAAGGATTGAGCAATGGAAGCGATTGACGGGTAAGGGCTTGAGCAACTTGTCGCATGGTTGGTCGAAGTTGGGGGCTGCCATTCAAGCATGCAAATGCTAGCTTTGTAGTAGAGACAACATCCTTTGCAACTTGCCTCATTGGTGGTGAGAGGTGTTGATCTATCACATCTTTAAGTAAAATCAATTGGTTGTCATTTGGTATCGATGTCGAAGTTGATGGCGATGTCGATGACGATGATGGCAAACATGAAATTAAATCACCAGGATACCTCCCCATAAGTATTTCCATTGTTAGCACCCCAAAACTGTAAACATCACATCTCTCGTCTACTTTCATTGTATAAGCCAACTCTGCTTAAAGAAATATTTTTAATCAATGTGCTTTATTAAGCAATTAATATATCTAATCAAATACACTATTATGTAAGAATATTGAGAAGATTATAAAATAATGTTGAAAAGAAATTGCAAATGTTTAGAAGATTACATGAAAATTGAAATTCAGAGGTTTAAAAAGATTTTATATTTAGTTCATTAGTTTAATATATTGAATATTGAAAAATTAAGTGTTAAGCTTTAAAGATTAATTACACATTTGATACTTGAATTAGAGTAAAATTCTTTGAAACTTAAATTTGAAAAGTTACAATCTTAAGTGTTAAACTTCAAAGATTAATTACACATTTGATACTTGAATTAGAGTAAAATTCTTTAATACTTAAATTTGAAAAGTTACAATCTTAATACTACTTGTACTTTGTTTTAATGCATTTGCACACAAAACTAACACTTTTAATTGAATGATGACATGTTTGAAGCATATTTAAAAAAGAGATATTAACAAATACCTGGAGCTATGTACCCAAAAGTACCAGCAAGTGAAGTCCAATTGGAAAAATCGGTCTTTAAAAGCCTGGCTGTGCCAAAATCTGAAACATGAGCCTCATAGTCCAAATCCAGAAGAACATTGTTGCTGGAAATGTCTCGATGAATTATAGGTAGTGAATGGTCATGATGCATATAAGACAAGGCATTGGCCACTCCTTTTACAACCTTTAGCCTCTTCTCCCAATCCAACTCCATTGCCTCGTCCTTGTTGCTTAACACCTTTCTCAAACTTCCCCTTTCTACAAACTCATAAACCAAAAATGAGTTCTTTGGATGTGAACAAAAGCCATACAGCTTCACAATGTTACGATGCCTTATTTCTGATAAAGCATGAATCTCGCTTTCAAAGTCTTTCAAGTTGTTCGAAGTCATGCTATCTTCAGATTGGTGAAGTTTCTTCACAGCAACCACCTCACCAATGGGTAGCGCAGCTTTATAAACAGTTCCATAGCCTCCTGAACCAATGCAATTGTTGGAGCTAAAATCTTCAGTGGCTTCAATAATGTTCTCGTAGAGTATTCTTCCATTATATCCCCACAATGTGAAAAATTCTCCGAGTTGTGCCTCTATTGACTCAGATTTTCTGGTTCGGTTCTTTTGGCAAAGAATAAGGATACTTCCAATCATGATAAAGAGAAAAAGAAGACCAAAGAATGGAATCACAATGAAAATGATGACTTTGGTGCTTTTTCTATGACCGTTGCTGGCAGCAGCGACAGCACAAGGCATTAGTCCAGTGGCATTACCACATAGGCCTTTATTGTTTCTTAAGGCATCAAATGAAGCCTCATGAAAAAGCATTGTGCTGTCTTTCTACTTTTTCAAAGAAAAGAAAAGGTGCTAAAAAACGAATCAATTGCTTTAAGAAATGCAAACTTTCCAACTTTGAGTAAATTTGCATCATAATCATATTTTTTATAAAGGCTTTTGATTGGAAAGAAAGAAAATTATTAATAGTATTTTTATTTTTGATTATTTGGTTATTACATTTGATTATTTGATTAAAGAAAGAAGATTATTATCTCATATTATAGAATATAAGACTTAATATGTTGTTATTTTTATTATTACATTTAGTTATACAATATTTTTGAATAGTGAAAATGTAAGATAATTAATAATACCAAAATAGAGCTTCAACATCAAACAAATTACATGCTAAATGGACACCAAAAAATATTTGAATCATTGAATCTCTTTTAACACCTAATTACGCTTATAGTTAAATTTCTTTGTTTTTTCTTTTTAAAAAAAATAAATTCAAATTTTATTTCAGAAAAGGAATAATGCATCAATCAACTTAATAAAATATTTTGACAATTTTTATTTTTCTTACTTTGCATGCCCTTTTAAATGCACTTTATAACCAAATATGCAGTATGCATGAATCCGAATAAATTTGTTTTGCCAAAATACGTGACCACCGCTAATTTGCCTTCCATAAAGAAAGAAAAATAAAATTTTAACGAGGATTAGTGCTTGAAACTGAAATAAACTCACTGTCTTGCATAACGGATCCAGGAATTATAATTGGTGAGGCAAATTAATATATATGTATAATATTATGCATAAAAAAAGATGTAGAGAATTAAAAATTAATTCAAGTGTAATAAAAATGGACATCTAGTTACACTTATGGTAATTTATTTTACTTAAGTGTTTATTTCTATTAAGTATATGTTTTTACTTCATTTGAATTTTTTAATAAAATATAATAATTAATGATAACATATTCATATATTTATAAAATTTTTTTAATTATTTAAAATTAAAATATATTAGAAAAAAATGAAAAGAAAAAAAAAAGATTAGAAACATCTTACTTGGAGGAAGGCTTCATAAGTCTTTCACGTTATTCATGATTTACGTGGTCTTACAATCACTTTGGATAAATTTGGTTGGATGTTAAAATTAGTTTTAATGATGTTAAAATTAGTTTTAATGAGATTAAAATCAGTGATAGATATAAAATAAATTATTATAATAAAAAATTAAAATTACTGGTAGAATTTATTTGAATACAAAACCAATGATGATAATGAAATGAAATATAATGAAAAAAAAAATCATTAAAGACGTTGGACTAAAACTATATGTAATAAAAAATTTAAATTATTTAATATTTATAAGATTAATAAATTATTATTAAATTATTTTATGTCAAATAATGATTTCATTAATAAATAATTAAAATTTATTTATTAATTTATTGTATAATAAATTTTATTTTTATATTAAATTTACAAAACTATTTTCTAATTTTAAGTAAAAAAAAGAAATAGAAAAAAAAAGTGATTAACTTGAAAGAGAAAAAAATAATAATAAAGGGACAATTGAGGACTAGAACTCAAAACTCCATTGAACGGTGGAAATCACGTCATACTAATCCATAACTTAAGGTATGAACTAAACTCATGTTTGAAAATCATATGCATACCAATTATGATGTTCACAACAAATAGATTCGATTTTGGATTCAATTTTCTATGTTTAATTTTTGCTCCTTGTTATGTTCATACATGTATGTTTGTGTGACAAATATTATCAAATCGCTGTCATTTTAAATGATTAATTTAAACTATTTAAATGAACATATGAACAATTATTGATCAATTTTATAAAATTGTCCTTTAAAAGCATAAAAAATCTTTCAAAAAATTCTAAATTAACCAACAATATACATTTTTAAGTTTTGAATCACTTTTAAATGATTAACTTAAATGAGTATCTAAACAATAAATTTTGATAATGTATGGCCTTTCTTTAAGGTGCCACATGGCATTCATCTCTTTTTATTTATTTTTTTATTTAATATTATTTTAAATTTAATAAATATTTTTATTTAATTATTTTGTGTGTGGACCCATAATCTAGAAGGCTTAGATTGGTGATGCTTGTAGTCTTATTGCAGGTAATTCTATCCCAATTGCAATGGCTGTCTCCAACCCACAAAGAACGTAGCAAAGTTTTAGTGGTGTTGTCAACTCTCGCTTTCCATTTTAGATCATTTCACTTTCTATGAAACATTCATATCAAAATGCAACTTTAATACCGATGGGTCTTTTATATTTAAATTAATTTTGTTGGATTTTTTTATAAAAAAATTGCAACATAAAAAAATTTTAAATACTGATATTTATATTAAGTAAATTAAATTTTAAATTCTCATAAATATTGATTATTTGTATTTTTCTTTTTTTGTAATAAAATAATATTCTAATTTAATTCATGCTTATTTTAATAAAAAGTATGGGTTATAAAATTTTCATGATAATTTTTTTAAATGAAAATTATATGATACATCATTGAAAATTTTAAACTGATAAATGAGTTTATAAGATTAATACATATCATTAGGTCATAATTAAAAAAATTAAGTAAATAGACAAATTAATGAATTAAAAATTATCTAATATAAATTTTTAAAATTTTATGAACAAAATTAAAAAATTGACATGTATTTTATAATAATATATTTACAAAAATTAATAAATTTTTAAAAAACTCTATCATCTACATATATATAATAATTTAATTATTAAATGAAGATACCAACCCTACAGACCATAAACCAACAGTCAAATTAATTTATAAGTAACAATTCTTAAATATATAATTATATAAATTTCTATTCATTTAATTTGGTTCAAGTCTATCTTTTATTTAATATGGAGTCTTATCCAATTCATTTGGCCTCTGATTTTGGCCTCTTTTTTCTAACGTGTTCATGGTGCTAATTAAATTATATGTGGGAGCACTACAGGGGTTTTAGTTTTTAGTGGCGTTTTTTTTACCGTTTAACGGCGTTTATTGATGCCATTATAAGGTTGCGGCATTTGCGAAAAAACGTCACACAGAGTGCCACCTATATAAGCATCATGATAAATAGCGATGTTTTCAAAAAAATGCCTCAATATTAGTAGCGTTTATATCTAAAGCGTCGCTATTTTAGCAGCGTTTATATCTTTGAGATGCCGCTACTTTAGAGGCATTTGAATCTGAAAATGGCTTAATATTAGTGGCGTTTGTATCTTTTAGTCACCGCTATTTCAATGGCATTTTTATGAGAAAAACATCGTTGCATTGATGGCGTTTATAATAGAAAATGCTGCTACTTTGCATGGCTTTTGAATCTGAAAATGTTTTAATATTTACGGTGTTTGTATTTTTTTAGGCACTGCTAATTCAGTGGTGTTGTTATGAGAAAAACATCATTGCTTTAGTGACGTTTTTGTAATAAACGCCACCTAACTAGCAGCATTTGATGGAAAGAGCACCGCTAATATTGTGGCATTTTATGCTACAAAGGCCATTAAATTATTCATTTAGCGTCATTGCCCAACTCAAACACTGCCATTATGTAAAAATGTATTTTTTTAATTTCTTATAATAAATTTTATTTTCAGTAAAGAGCTTAAATTCAGAAACTAAAATTAATATTAACTTCATTCACATTTAAATATACATCTAATTAATACAAAGTTTAATAATTAGTATAATAACATTCAAATATTGTAAATACATTAACCAAATAAAAAATTAAAATGTATGAAATGGATGACTACATACATTTTGCTGGCTGTCAATTGATGAAGAAAATTTTCCACCTTGGTCACTAGCATGCTCAACAATCTATTGAATAATACCATATAATTTTTAACACTTCATTGTACGCTTATTTTTTATTTAAAAATTTTAATATTTACTAAATACAATACCTGAGTTGATGGAGCACCAAGATTATTTCCTAGAAATTGTTGTTGCATAAAATTCATAAAATGATCAAATCAATCATACAATGCTAAAATTTTGCATGCTCTAGCTCCATTCTAGCACGTTCTTATTCAATTTTGGCACGCTTCTATTCTCTTTCTGCTTTCATTTGCTGAAAACGTTGTTGCATAGTTTGCAACTCCCTCTCAATATTGAAATGTCTCTGAAGACTGACTTGCTGAGAGTGTAAATTACGGAGAGTTATGTCCATAGTAGGCAAATATGTTGGACCCAATCCAAGGCCTCGGACCCGTCCATGCCTTTCTTTTCCAACTACTTCTATAAATATTTTTTTCATTTCTTGCATGTTAGAGAACCTTCAGATGCTACTTCAATCTCAATAGCCATTTTCTCTTTCACTTTTTCTTGTGAATTTGTCATATACAACTATCCCAATGCGTTCTCTTTCCTGTCATAAAAAATAATTGCATATATGATAAAAATATAAATATTATCAACTGAAACCATCAAACACTTTCATCATTTCATTTTATTATACAAAGTTATAAACTAGTATCTCTCCTTTTCTTGAGAACCAAAATCTAACAAGTTGTTCATCTTACCACCTAATCACATTACGGGATAGATTTTGCATCATCGTCTCTATAGTAGTATTTCGATCAAAATACTTATTCTTCAAACTTTGCTTACAATCTTTCCATTTGTTTCCCAATGACTTTAAGCACAAATGAAGTTGGTATTTCAAGTACAAATCTTGACTATAATAATACAATAAGAAAAGTTTGAATAAGTAAACAAAATGTAAAATAAAAAATTTAAATATATCTAATTAATTATACTAATACCTCAATAAAGTTTAACACATCGGCCTTAACTTCTTCTAGAATATTATGCCATGTTTCATAATGAATAGGCAATTTCATTCCATTACGGGCTAGCATGCCTAGAAATCTAGCCAATAGTTGAGCCTCTTCACCAATTGGTTGCCTATTAGAGTTTGCAGACACTACAATATGCTCATTAGGATGTAGTGCAAACAATTCC